ACGGCGACAGTGGTCTGGTCTGGAGCAGCTGCGACAAACCACAGCTGCATTTCCGCCACATGATGAACAGAATCAAATCGCATAGTAGCCATCCATAATTGTGCACCAGTGAGCCAGCTTCATTTGGCAGCAAACACAAGTTTTCTCTCGATTCGACATGCGTAGGTCTCACGCCCCTCCATAGGTGCATGAATCACAGGTGCACGTAGTTTCCATTCAACACAGTGTGAAGCTGTGAACATGCCTTCAGCACCGCATGGACGCGCATTTAACAAGGCGTGGCACTTGGCCGCTTCTTCCATGAAATGCCCACTGATTGTCACAAAGCTTCTGCAAGGCAGGTTAGTTGGGCAGAGTGCCTCAACCTTGGTCTGTATCCTGGTTTTAAAAACTCACCTGCTACATCAAAACATATGAACGACCTGCTGCCGACATACTACTGGAGAAAATATCTTCACTTGCCCATGGTGGAGTTAGTGGCAGTAGTAGGCACAAAGAATCTCAAACGAATTAAAACACGGAGGTATTGCATGACGGTCACAATGTGAACGTATGACAAGAAATGCAGCTTTCACACTCCCTTTGTGGAAAACAAAAATTGAATTGGCGTCCTCGTGCACAAAACAGTCACATATTACTATATAACAGACATTTGTTTGTTTTATTGATAGTACTAAAAAATTTGACAATAGGTTCATTACGCAGTTTTCACTGCCCCACAAAATCGAAAATAGGTTCCGCTTTACTGACTACAGTCCAAGAGTCAGCAAAAGTACGACGAAAATCAAAAACTTCGAGCTTGGAATGCAATCATGTCGGGGGGGTAGCCAACAAATTTTTTTTCCCAGAAAAGATGGGGTTGAAGCAGCCTTTATGCATGTCCGTCCATGTGTAACTTGCCAATGCCACTTGTAAAGACGATCACTCTGCTGCTTACACTTCTCCGATAAATGTGGCCGCAATGAACTTCAGAAGCTGAAACACAAACATATTACAGGAAAAGTTTGTTAATCCGACACTCGATGACTCATAAGATCGGACAATTTAGATGTGTTCTTCGGGTCCCGGCCAGCATATGCATTGTCTAATGAAGTCAAATTTTCGTTGACTAAGTAATATTTGGCTGCAATCTGGTTGATTCCAATAATCCGTGGAGCATACCGAGCGCAAAGCGCCACAAATGGGCAACGCAAATAAACAAAAATGGCATTCGCAGGTAGCCGAAATGGTCGAGGGCTTTGAGAAAGATTTGGTCACCATTCACAATCTTGTTGACGGTATGTAATAGGGTGCAGGTTTGAAGCACGTTTCGGCTTAACACGCAGGGTCTGGAGCAGGCAGCCTGCGTGCACACTATGGACTGAACGAAGTTGCAAATGACGAAAATTGTAGCTTTTGCGCTGCTCTTATGTAACATATAGACTGAATTTATGTATTCTTCACAAAAACGAAAGTGCATAGATAAAACAGGCATTTGTTCGTTGTTTTCTTGATACATTTGATAGTTCCGCATTTGGCTCAATCGGAAAATTTTGCCGGTCCCGTGAAATCATAACAAGCAACATTTTACTGTATTATGCCTTCAGCCAAATGAATACTGTTCGAATTTGTTGTAAACAACACCCTTTCCTTTTTTTAGAGAAACACCCACTGAAGTAGTTGATTTATGTGTTTTAGAAAGGTTGCAATAAATAAAAGACACATTCAAGGGTTCCTATAGGCTATGAAGTTAAAACCAATTCTAGTGATCATATTAGCAAAAAAAAAAAAAACTGCCCGTTCATGCAAAGTTGCATCACACTATCTCCATAAACAGCCCCCACAGTTTTTATTTATTTATTGCAATGTGCCCCCTCGTACCAATGGACTGATCTTGTCTAAGTGACCACAACCTCTGGTCATGGTTGAATCACATCCATAAGTGGCCTTAAAGCCAGAAAAACTGGATCACAGAAGAGAAAAAACTACCACAATGTTGTTTGCCACTTTAAAAAGGCAGACTGTGTTGGTCTCGGTCTCTCTCTCTCTCTCTCTCTCTCTTTTTTCTTTTTTTTTTTCAGATTATCAACATAGGGGCATGTCTGTTTTATTTTCATACTCGGCAAATGATACTATAGATGCATTTTTATTCTAAAACCGTACAAGTATAGGGCGCGACAGATTCGAGCAAATAAGGTTGGTGAAAATTCCCATTTAACGTGGGTTGGCAGTGAAGTGCAATCGGCCACCGCAGAATGTGGCCGCAGAGTAAAGGAAGCCTCAGTTTTACCACAAAGGGGGAGCAAGAAACAAGGTAGAACAAGCTGCAATATTACATGAGGCAAGACTATTATCTCGACAAGTGACTCGGCATAGCTGAATAAGACGATGTAAGCAAACACAGACGCTGCAGCGAGCGAAGCAACCTTCACGCCACCTATGACATAACGCAAACTCTGCGAGGGGAACACAAAACAAAGATACGACCTGTCTGCTGATCTCAGTCAAAATACAGCGCATGGAACCGCGGCCAGTCAAAGTATGCAATTACCACCAGAGCACCCTCTGGCCAAGTCTCCTTTGCACGACCTCCGGGCAGCACAGGCTGCAGTCGTTGATGGCGGCCTCTTGGTTTGTTTTGGGCCACCATCGACGACTGTGCTCACATGTTTTGATATGCACACCGAACATATTATGCACAGGGAAGTATTATCGATTTGTGGATTTCATACCGAACACCCAGAGACTGCAAGAATGCATCCGAGGTGGCCATATACAGTAAAAAGAGAAAAAAGTTTGAAACGCTGTAACGTCAGCAAATTCTCCTGTTCCCAAAGAATCTTAACAGTTGCAAAACCTTTTATATGATTCAAGCATGACAGCTATGAAAAAATTTGGGCCCCGATGAGAAATGCTTGCAAGGGAAAACTGAACAAAATGAAAACATGCCTTGGAAGATGTACTGTACCAAGATTTGAATTTTAATTTAGTGGAATCCCAAATGTGTACAGTAATACCAGAATCGACTGTTCAGAAAAAAAAATACTGTAGCTGCTTGCAGAAGCTGCTTACAAGCAAAAACAGATCATGCAATAAAGTTGCCAACAAAAATGCTCTCCCAACTGTATGTAGTAAAAACTAAACCCTTCACTGAACTTACTCCTTCAAAGCAGTCACATGAAATAGTGCAGCAAAGAAACAGAAAAGCATGTTTTTGAGATAGACCAACCAAAAACCTGCCAAACATTTGAAAATGCTGTGTACTAAAGATACCCTATATAATAGTCACTGACAGTGAGCCGAAAAAGCCAACAATGGCAAAAAAGTGCCAGCCCTAATGAAACATGGGTCATTAATTAAACGTGCAATATATTTTTAGCCCAAAGCAGAAAATCAAGGAATGAGAAAACACAGTACACATGGTAGGTGTTTTTTTTTCCATTTTCTACTTTGCGCTGAAAATAGGTTGCACGTCGCAAACCACTAACTCGAACAGCATGAAGTTTCATCTAAGTTCATTAGGCATTGTCGAAATTGATGGTTAGCCTACAATATATACAAGGCGTGGCAGTAAAATGAAGTTTATACAAGTAGTCACTGGTAGCAGGAACTTCTGAGAATGATCCTAGTGTTAGAATGATCCTAGTGTTAGAAGTGCAGTGCTAGAAATTGTGGAAAACCAGAGCTTGTGCAAGACCTGCTATAGAGCTGTTTACAGAAATGCAAGCAATAATACAGTATCACTACTATGCTCTAAATAAAATGGCCCTGCAATACACGCCAGAAAACACCTGATGTGAGCTGGAGTGATGCAAGATCAAAGTGACAACCTGCTATCATCACCAACTACAGCAGACTCTATGTACAACCTATCAGTTTCTACATGAGGACATCTCGAAGGTTGCAGCATGCCAAGTGGGAGGGGCCTCTTTTTAGTCGACTGGTAACGTTTGGGAATTATCACTGAAGATAGCAGCCCTCTGTTTCCTAGTACGTTTGCATGGAGCGATTCGTTCTTTATGAGAGACACTGGTTACATGTGGCAAAAACATGAACACCTCTACATTACTAAAGAAATATAAGGCTGTGCGATGAATGAAAAGTTATCTTTAATCCTATCTAAATTGATGAGTGCCCTTGGTGGCCACAAATATCAAATATCCAAGTGCACGTAAGTATTGGAATGTTCCTCAAAGAGCTCAATCAGCATGCAGAGCTCATGAAGGGAAACAGTGTTGATTCTGTTTGGAATTATTGTAAGAGCTTCTTTTTTGGCTCATCAGCGCTTCTTATTGGACAGCCACGTGCTGTGCACTGCTCTGCTTCAATTTCATGCATGAGCGCTCCAGGTTTAACAAAAGTTTAATTAAGCCCTCATTTACAGCAGCACTCATGAGGGCTGCTATTTTCTAAACCAAAAAACAACTCAGATATGCGTGGTGCAAAACAAATTTGTGGCATTCCTGAATGAGTGGTAATAGCTGCAGCACAACAAAATTTTTATATGCAACCCCAAAAGCCAAGCTTTTCTTGGGCTGAAAAAGTGGAATGCCAGTAAAGCCTAGATATATAAGCTATAGCTTCACTCCAGTGACGAGGATAAGTCAAGCAAGTGTGTTAATAAGCTGGTGTTGTGGCATGCACAGGTCTTTTTTTTTTTATCAGAAATCCTTGAAATATAAAGGGAGTGTTTTGGCTACCCCAACCAAATTGCTATATTGGCCACGGTTTTGAAATTTATCTTGCAGTCATTCGTAAAATAAATACATATGAAAGCCACATGCAATTGCTTTATTTCATTGAAAATGAAAAGTTTATCTCCCACATTTATGAACTGAAGGGATTGTTTGATTCAATCTAAGTATTTACACATCCCTATAAAAAGAAAACCGCAACAATGCCCATAACTTATGCTCCTGTCAGTCACTAAAAACTGAGGCCAGATACATGATGCTTTCAAACACCACGGACTCGCTACGTGGCTGTCGTGAAACCAGGGGAGATCTGTGGAGGTGACTCACCTTTGGAGAAGTGCTGGAGCAGCAAGTGCTTGGTGTAGTCCAGATGCACATTGAGAGTGCGGCTGAGAAACATGTGCCTCTCGCTGCGCAAGTGTCCCAACAGGTGGTCCTCGCCAGGCATCGAAACGTGGCACACACGACAGTGAAACTTGCCAATCTCCTCTGCGTAACACAACAGCTGGCTACACTGAAACCCACCGCTTCAGTATAATACAGTCGATCCCGGATATACTGAATTATTGGCTACATCAAACAGTTGAAAAATACCCTCGAATTCCCCATGCAAAAGTATGGGACCGGTGCATGCATAACTCCCGCACAGCAGGACATCTGCTTTAACACTGCTTGAAAACGTCCATAGACAACGGTAATTTCACAGGGTCTGTATTTCTTGATTTCACGAAAGCCTTTGATACCATTAGTCATAATATTTTATTTAGCAAATTAGAGTCCTTGGGTATCACTGGCCCATCCTTGACCTTCATAAAAAACTACCTTCTTGATCGTGAACAATCAGTCTGCATTGGGGGCGTTAATTCTAATGTTAAAATAATTATTCAAGGGGTCCCACAGGGTTCTATTCTTGGACCCTTACTGTTTTGTATCTATATCAATGATTTGCCTGACTTCCTTGGAGATTCTAAAGTTATTCTTTACGCTGATGATACAGACCATTTCCATCTCGCATAAACCATTACCTACTCTGATCAATATGTTGAACAAAGAACTGACTAATGTCGTTGAATGGTGTCGTTTAAACAACTTAATTTTAAACCCGCTCAAAACTCAGTTCATGATTTTTAAAACATAACAAAAAATGCTACCTTTCATTCCACAAGTGGTCATTGACAATCATTTCATTCCTGCGTGTGTGTGTGTTTTCTGGGCATAAAATTAGACCCTCATTTAAAGTTCACCAATCATATTCTTTACGTCAAACAAAAAACAGCATTTGGTATAAGATCACTCATCAAATCTCGTCCTTTTTTTTTCACTTGAAGCCTTATTGTCTTTATACTTTGCTTTCATACATAGTCACATCACCTATGGCATTACATCATGGGGAAATACATATAACATTCATATTTCGTCTGTACAGCACATTTAGAATCAGGCCATTCGCATTATTACCAACACTTCATCTTATTCTAATGCTACCCCACTCCTTCAGGCTAACTGTATTCTTACTGTGTCTGGCTTATTTAATTTTCACTTAATCATATTGCTATATAAACAACTTGACAAACAGCTTGTGTTTGATTTAATCGATGCTAGTTTACTCACTAACACCAATAGCACTAGATTCGCCCACAGTCACAACTTCCTTTTACCTAAATGTAACACCAATTATGGCAAAATGACGTCTGCCTTCGCGGTCATTAAATTGTATAATAACCTGCCCTATACACTAAAATCATCATCTTTTCATGCATTCAAACGTGATCTTAAAAACTTCATCTTGCATAACTATGTTGACAACGATGATTACTTAACGATTCTTATGTATCCGGGCATGAAATTGGAAAGTCTTTGCAAATTTAGGTTATTGCTTTATGGCGTGATTATGTTTTACTTGTATATCTTATTACTATTGTTCTTGTGTCACATTCTGACTGCCTTTATTGTTTACTTGATGTTATTTTATGCAAGTTCACTGTTTACTTTTCACTTGTGTTGTGTATTTTACGTGCTGTCATAATAATTTTATTGTTATTGTTAACCGAGGGTCCCACTGCAGTCGCTTGACTTTGGGACCTTCGTCTGCATACTACATTCTACGAATTTTGTATTTTGAATGAATGAATAAACTGAACTGAACTGAACTGAACACTGCGCAACGCTGAGGCCCAGAAAATGCCTTTTTCTTAGCAAATATTCATCAATTTTCCATCACATTCTAACACGTTTTGATCCCGAAAGGCGGTGTCATTCCATCGCACTGATCTGGTTCGTTGCATGGCACTTGCCAGTGCGCCGATAGTTTGATGAGCGATTAGCAGGTCTCATCGCACGGGCATAGTGTTTTTAAGAGAAACCAACTGCCGAGGACACCAAAATGAGAATGCAAAGTGACTCAGTGATCTTGTTGCAATGTTTGCATTCCCTTGTTTGCTAGCACTCAATGGCATGAGAGTCTTAAAACCGTGACCTTTCAGAAATGCAACATTGTGACGTAGTTTTAGTGTTTTGGGGGGCCATGCTTTGTCTAGCTTTTTGCATCAAACCAGCAGAAAGCAGCGGCTGCCAGCTACAAAGCCACAAGTGCCATCGATATCGCCAACATGTCGATGGTGGGAACTCTGCGTTTTCTTTTGCACCTAGTGGACTCAGGTACTTCTCACCTCGTTCCTGATAAATCTTCATTGAGGAGATGAACAGAACGTTGACTCGCATGTAGCGATAAGTATTCATCACATCACATCACATCACTTTATTTCCTTAAAGACCCCTCAAGGGGGTTTTACATAAGAGGTGGGTATACAGTGTAGCCAGCTGACTTCACTCGGTAAGAAAGTTTGTTACTTTGTCTAAGAAGTTTGATGGATTAGTAATGGCTGCAATGGTGTGGTAAAGGCCATTCCAATCTGTTGCTGCTCGGGGGAAAAATGAAGAGGAAAATGTGAGGGTGCGAGCACGTGGGCGTGACACTTGCAATTCATGTCTGTGGCGATGAGGTATGCGCGTAAGGTGAACGATATAAGGTGGAAGACAGAGATAACTGTAATAAAATTTGTGGAATAATGATAGCGTGGCAATACGACGACGAAGACAGAGATTAGATAAACCGGATTCCGCTTTCAGTGACGATACGCTAGCTCAGTAATAATAAGTGGAATGGATGAATCTAGCAGCACGGTTTTGGACAGCTTCCAGGGCAGATGCGAGGTAGGACTGGTGTGGGCTCCAGATAGCGCATGTGTATTCCAGTTTCGGTCTGATGAGTGATTTGTAGGCTAGTAGTTTTACGTGCGTGGGGGCATGACGAAGATTGCGTTTCAGGAATCCCAGTGTTTTATTGGCAGATGCGACGATATTTGTAATATGAGTGCGCCAAGATAGGTCATTGCATAAGGTCACCCCTAAATATTCAAACGAGTTAATGGCTTCGATGCGAACTCCAGAAATTGAATACGGAAAAGAAAGGGGAGCAGAACGTCGAGAGAAGGTTACAGATTTACATTTACTAGGATTTAGAGTCATTAGCCATTGCTGGCACCAGTCTATGACGTGGTTAAGATCAGTCTGTAAAGCATGTTGGTCGAGAGGGTTATTTATAGTTGAATAAATGACGCAGTCGTCTGCAAACATTCTGATGTTAGCTGAAACTGTCGAAGGCAAATAATTATTATAAATTAAGAATAGAAGGGGTCCAAGGACGAATGCTTGAGGCACGCCTGAGGTTACTGGGAGCAGGCAAGATGTCGTGCTATTTATAGGAACAGTTTGAGAGCGCTTTCTCAGAAAAGCCTTTACCCAGTCGAGAATATTGGGATCTATGTTTAACTGACCAAGTTTTAGTATTAATCTTTTATGGGCTATTTTGTCAAATGCTTTAGCATGATCTAAAAAGATGGCGTCAGTCTGAACGTTGAGGTGAAGGTTAGTGTGTAAATCGTGAAGGAAGATGGCTAGTTGGATTTCGCATGATAGACCTCTGCGGAAACCATGCTGTAAGGGTGAAAGAACGGGAACGAGTCTAGATGATTCATGATGTGAAAGTATATGACGTGTTCCATGATCTTGCAAGGTACACTGGTTAATGAAATGGGTTGGTAGTTAAGTGGTGAGTTTTTGTTACTGGCTTTGTAGATTGGAAGGACGTTGCCCACTTTCCAATCCTCGAGTAAAGTGGCAGTGGCAAGAAACTGCGAAAATAACAAACATAGATAGGCAGCGGAGATACATTTAGTATTTTTAAGAAACTTTGACGTGGTTTCATCAATGCCCGCAGACGAGGAGAGTTTGATGTTTTCAATCCGAAAAGCTATACCACAAACAGAGAGAACAACCGGTGGCATTTTCGATTGAATGAGGTCGGAGAGAACTAAATAAGAAAAAGACCTATCATTCTCTATGGTATAAAAAAATGAAAAACTGCGATTAAATTTATGAGAACACTCAGAATCGGACAGAACTTCATCCAGCTCATTCGTAAGGCTTACTGTGAGCACCGTGAGGGTTAATTATTTCCCAAAACTTCTTAGGATTATTTTCTAATAGTTTGGGAGGTTCAACATGAAAAAAGAGATATTTAGCGGTTCGAGTTTCTTTCAAATAGGAATGTTCAGCTGCATAGTATTTTTCCCACGCGTGCGCACTGTTTTACGAGTTTAGCTGCAGAATAAAGCCGCTTCTTTTTGTTTTCTCATCTTTGGGCGATCTTGTGAACCATGGTTTTTGAGAGTTAGAGTGGAAAGTGACTTTAGGTATGTACTTATATACAAGTTCATTTATTTTAGCTTTGTAGACGGTCCAGTTTTCCTCAATGCTTTGGCTTTGAAAGTCCACTTCAAACAGAGGATAAAACTTGATTAAATCGTCATTGATTGCGTGATAGTTAGCTTTATCATAAAGGCGAATGGTCTTTACAAATGTGTGGCGTGGAACTGACGCAAACTGAAATATGGCTTGGATAACCTTATGGTCACTAACTTCTTTGAGGTAAGTAATGGATGATAAGCATTCGGGACTGTTTGTTAGTATTAAATCCGAAGTGTTTGCTGATTCCTGCGTGGTGCGTGTTGGTTCAGAGACCAATTGTGTAAGATTGAAATTCAGGCAAACGTCAATGAATTTGATTGCTTCGGAGTTGTTTATAGTGGAGACTTGATTACACCAGTCAACACTTAGGTAGTTAAAGTCGCCGAAAAGTACGACACTGGCTTTACTGTGTGTTGTAAGAAGCTGGCTTAGCATATCATTCAGTTTCTCTGGAAAGTATGGGCTGTTTCGTGGTGGTTTGTAACATACGCCGAGTAAGACCGTTTTTGGTCTAACCCGACATAAAAGCCATAATATTTCTACGTCAGTCCCGACATTATTAATGGAGCATGAAAGCTTCCGACTAGCAGCAATGAGCACGCCTCCCCCTCGGGAGCCCTCGCGGTCTTTCCGAAAAATATTGAAATTTGGCAAGTCAGTTAGAAGTTCGACGTCGTTGA